CTGTAATGCTATGTAGGCTAGTGTGAGAATAAGGTTTGTTCTGTGGGTGTGTTCTTTTGCCAATCTTTTACCTGGAAAAATATGTTGGTAATTTTTGTTCTTTTCATGGTGAACTGGAAATTTTAGCTCTCCAAATGGTTGAAATTTAAGTTTTACTGTCTATTTTTTAAACTGCTCGAGTAGCTAGTGCTCCATTAGTATTTGTCAGTGTGAGTATTTATTAGTTGTTTTCTACAGAAGAGGATTAGGGCTACTGGGGAAAAAAATAAGTGGGCAAGTTGTTTTTTTTTCTTCTTTTCCAGAATTCTGAGGAAAAAAAAGTCAGAATTGTGACATTAAAGTCAGATTTTTAAAAAAAAAAAATATATATATATTTTTTAGAATTCTGACTCTTTTCTCAGAATTCTGGAAAAGAAAAAGAAGAAAAAAAGACATGCCCACTTTTTTTTTTCTTTCCCAGTGGCCCTAACGCTGAATTAATTTAGGGGGCTTTAGAGCAATTGCAACATGTAAGTTGTTAGTTTTTTATCCTTTCAGAGTAATTATTTTTTGCTTGGCATGAAGTATTTTAAAAACTCTATAAAAAGTGAAGTCTTCACAATATCTTTAAAATAAGCTATTGGTTTAATTTTTACATGGTATTAAAAAACAAAAACAAAAGTTGCTACATGCTAGTTTGCTCCCAAAAGTTATTGTTAGCATATAATCTATTTCCAGCTTCTAGCTCATTTAAAGCCTCCTTCATTTTTCTGTTATATACCTTTGTGTCATGATCAGGCTGTGTGCAGGCAGAAGAGGACCCAAACGCAAACTCACGGGGAAAACAGGACTGAACTCAAAATACAGCTTTATTGCTGACAGAGGATAAAGGCGATACAAAATAATATGAAACTAAACTGGGAAGTACTAAGGAACTGACTCACGAGGAAACACACGGAGGGGCACACAGTCATGAGGGAGAACGCGACACAGAACTGAGGGAGACGCAGACATAAATACAAAATGAGGGAAGTGGGAGCACACAGGGAACACAGGTGACGCTGATAATCATAACAAGACACGGCAGGAGCAAATGCAACACTGACGGGAGACTGTCAAAGTAAAACAGGAAGTACACAGAGGTTCAGACAGGAGGAGAGAGAGCACGGACATAACGGGCTGGGGAAAACATGGAATAAAACACGAGGGGAAACGAGGGTTCCCAGATACACAGAGGGGCACACAGGGGGCAACCAAATAAGGAACATCTTAACTAAACAACCTAGGAACCAAGGCATAAATAAAGAACAAAATACAAAACACACGAAAACTAAGAATACTGGGCCAACATGGCCCAGGACCATGACATTTGGTGCTGAGTTTTACAAAGTCTCAAAGTATTTCTGAAAGCCTCTCAAGAATGAGATAATACTGCTTTGACCACAAGCTGGCGGTTATCTCAACAATTATTGGCAATAACTTCTTTTCTAAAAAAAAAAGAAAGGTACACATGCGACGTTGTGTAAGCCTATTGCATGTTTTGTCACATTCATTCTGAAATTATGAAAAACATGCATGCAGTATGGTGGAGCTGCAGGCTAGTTGCTCACACATGTAGTGAAGCATGGTATCATTATTGCCTCTTTCAGGTCACATACTATTTCACGCTGTTTATGTCCTTTAAATTTGGAAAAGCTGTTCAGACGGTGTTTGCTCTGCCTGGATAAAATGAGTTTACTGTTTTAATTCTTTGCACCAGTCCACGTTGGAAACACTGTGCTCAGCCTGTTTGGAAATGATAAAGGTTTGGATTATTGCCTGTGGTTCTTCACGCTATTGTAGAGACAAATAACTTGTTATAAATGTGGTTTTTATTTTTTGGAATGGCTGAATAAACCTCCATGTGTACTCAGCCTTGGACACTACCATCGATTTGCATAGTCATATACTTGGCCTTCAATAAAGCAGCAACTTTTATTGTCACATTGTGCTCTTAATTGTCCTATAACCAAGCTTACACTTTAATTACATACATTGGTAGCTGCTGTTCACAATGCAGAAAAATACAGATTTCCACTTTGCTCATCTCTCCTCTCTCCTGTGTTTCTTTGCAGGGTCGACATGTTAAGACGGGACAGCTGGCGGCCATCAAGGTCATGGACGTCACCGAGGTCAGTAACACCTATCAGCATGCGCTTGTAATCTTTTGTTGTCTTTAATCAGGCTTCAATCCCAGCTAAACCACTCTTGCACTGTGGGATTGTTAAATCCTGCAGCAAACGCCTGTCACGAGAAGGATTGAATGAAGTAAAATTATTCTGCCATTACAGAAACAGCTATATTCCACTGAAACAGATGCAGTGGCTGTAGGACTATAGGAATACCTGCCTTAGTAATTGTCAGCCAATAATTTTTTATATAGATAAAATGATGAAAAGAGTCACTCTTTCAATCCAGAAAACAAATTACACTGGAACATAGATAAACACGTGAGAGTTGGTGCTGGAAAGGCGTCTTGTGAGGGAAATTTGATTTGGTTGTAACTGCAAGCAGACACCTGTTTAAAATTAGTAGGCCTGATCATGAAACCTACTGCACGCGGAAGTTGGCACATTAGTACTTTTAGTACTTTGCATATTTGTAATTGATTCCAGACTAAGTTTTATTGCATGTGATGGAATAAATAGCTTTTCCGAAGCATACAAGATAAACACCAAACAGTTTCCCCACTCCACAGCCTCTCTCCATTCCACACCCTCATGTCAATATTTTCTCTCCAAAAATAGTCAGGAATATAATCACATAGCTTCCATCACTCTTAACAGTGGTCTCTGTTCATTAGATGAACTTTGAGGAGGTCACGTTTGAAGCAAACAGATTTTTCACTTCTCTCAGGGCACTTTAGCTAATGATGATTTTAGACTCGTGCATGTAAATGTTTTAAGATCCACAGAGTTAAACTGGGCCCCGGAGGGCTGTTTCTGCCTGTTTAGTTCTGTGTTCCTTAATGTGTATACAAGCAGAAAATGTTATTAAAGTAACCTCATGCTGATGTTTTGTTTTTTGGGGTTTTTTTTACTCATCATTGAATCAATGGCCAAATGAGCCAAGAAAAAAAATGTTCCTGCAAATGGCTTAAAGAGGAATGAGTGTACCAACAGAGCTTTAATCTGGGTTAACTGTCACACTGAAGAGGATTGTACTGTCTGCCTTTCAGGACCCTGCTGGTTTCATCTGTATCTCTAAAGACTTACTATCTAATGTGCATCCCACTCTATCCTCGTTCAAACTGGTCCTCTGTGATAATAAGAGCTCATTTGTAACAAAGATGGTAGTGCTGTAATCAGCCTCCAGGACTGTTAGAGACATCAGAAATGTTGTAGTATCAGTTAATTCTGAAATGAAAAGAAAAGAAAGTGTTTCAGCCACTGATTTTTTTGTTTGAGTATTTAATTTTAATTATCTGTTCAATCATTCTGTAACACCTCCCAAGTTAACTTCTGGGACCACCTCGGAGTTATGGATGAAAGCGACAGTGTGAAAGTCAGCGTCTTTATGCAGGGCTGTCTAAAACATGGTCCCACTCAGAATCTGGAAGGCTGTTTACAGGAAAAGGCTTTAAAGCACAACATTATGTGCACCGTAAATGGAAGCAGTGTAACAGACTGTGATGGTGCAGTTTGACATACCTTAAGAAAATTTGTTTTTCTTGTGTTACAAGAGAGCAATAGGGACATATTGCCAGCACATTTTGATGACCCTTTAGGAGGGTCTTTCAAAGTATTCTTCAGACATGGCCACTCAGACAGAGGTACAACAGTGAGTATCTTGTCCAAAAACATGACAGCCTCTGAGCCAGTGGTGTTGGGAATCTTGTCAACATTGATGGACGTGTGAATGCAGAAAAGTGCAGTCAGATTTTGATCCACCGTGCAATACCATCTGGAAATCATCTGATTGGCAACAGCTTCAATTTTCAGCATGACAGTGATCCCAAACACACTGTCAATGCAGCGAGTGCAGGACGTGCTGAAGAATAAAGGTGGTCATACCAAATACTGACTTTCAAGTTTATTAGAATTGTGGACACTATTATAGCGTATTACTATATAATACAGACGTAAAAGGCTTTTGTATAGCACTGTTAATAGATTATAACTAGTTATCCTGAAATTCATTAAAAAAAATGTTTTTTGTGTTGTTTTTAAAGTCAGATTCGTATTAGTGCAACAAGTATTCTGGCCTATTTGACAGTTTTGATCAGTAAACAAAAAGATTACAACAAACAATCAAAATTGCTGGCTCTGGATAATCATGACGCAGGAGCAGCTGGAAACCAGTGTCTGGAAGCAGTTTGGGTTATACAGTCCATGGCAGTATTCTCAACAAACATAAGGCTCTTACTCTACAGCTTCAGCACATCTGGGCTCTCACATGCCGCATATTGGAGTTGCCTTTGAAAAATCGAGTTCACAGTGAAACATTAAAAGCGGCAATCACGAGCTCTGGGTGTAACTCTGTAGCCTGCAGGAACACATCTACATATTCAGCCTCAGAGATCAAAAAGAAGGGAACGAGGAAGGATCAAGAGCATTTGATGGGGACATGTTTATATATTCATACAAGATGAATCACTGAAGAGAAATACACATGTTGAGGAGTCTTGGCAGTTACTTTTTTTCCTCCCGTTCCACCAAAATGTTTTGAGTGGTCCCTTTTCCACACGGTTTCAGCCATTTTTATAAAATAAACACAGCCTGTTTGGCTGGACACTGGCCTCAGGCAGAGGAAGTTGTTTGCATTGGGAACACTTGAGATACTGCACATGTACGCAAATTCAGTATAACAGTTACTGTATATATGCATATGTATGTCTGTGTGTGTGAGAGAGACATGATGGGAACCACAGGAGCTTTCATGCACTCACAAGTCATGGATGGAAAACCTCCCATTTATACATCTTCTTTCCTATGTGTGTGCGTTTCTGGGAACGCTCTCGATTCCCTGTGCTCATCTCTGCATATGTGCTCTGACCCACATACCACTTCCTGTTCTGTATAGAGAGTGTGGGAGAGAGAGAGGGTGAAAAATGGACACTTAAGAAAACAGTAGGGCTATAGAGTAACAGTGTACAAGGTTGGGCTTTGTGATATAAGCAAGTCATTCTGAGCCTCGGTTGCTCGGTTTCTGTTAAACCTTTAAATACCCCATTAAAGACTGAGAATGTGAAAAATAGGCCGCTTAAGATGAGTGGGTATAACTGTAAACTAAAATGTTGATTTCATGCAAATTGTCATAATGTGAAGGTTACAGCAGAGCTAAATTGCCTTTGTAACTCAATAACTTTCATCGGCT